AAAAGTGGTTCAAGTTCAAAAACAAGAAGAGTTTTGAAAAGGAGGGAGAAGATTTTTGAAATTAAAGAAGATAGGAGGAGATGAAGGGACTATCCTAAGTACACAAAGTAAAATCTAAGGAAAACAATTGTCTAACCAACAAGAAGCCAACACTTGACATAAAGAAGTCAATGTACAATTTCCATCATTTGGATTAAAACCAAGCAAGCAAAAATACTAAACCTCTGAGGAATACCAAGCTTCAGATGAATTAATAACCAAGCAAAGTCTTCATTGACAAAAATTGGCCAGAGTAACAATTGTTTACAGAGGAATTCCCAATCACAGATAAAGCATGAAAATCAGAATAACCTGCATAGAGAAAAAAATTCAAACCAATGCCTTGGAGTAAACACCAAGGATTTCAGAATATCTTCACAAAAATATCAGTCAAAGATTAAGTTCCAATGTCTCATGTCTTCTAATCCTAAGTCTCGAAAATCTACAACTCCACAGTGCTAGGGATAGTAACCAACTAGTCCAAGTAACCTCAATATTTTTTTAATGTCCAAGTTGATTATTAAGTATATTTACAAAAAAAATAAATAAAGCTCAAGTGAGCAAAGATAAAAAGGCATAAAATAAATGCTCAGGTGAGCAAAGGGCAAATAGAATGAGATATAAATGCTAAAAAATAAATGGTACATAAAAGTAAAGGCACAAAATAAAGACATAAAGTAAAGTTAATTGTTAGTGATTTAGAAGTTAGAGGTCAAGTATAACAAAAGGTTAGTTGAATGACCATCTTGAAGCTTGCTTTTGAAAACTCATTAGAAGATTGGTAAAATCAAAGTCTCTCAACAACAAGTTTCATTTGCTTTTTGTCAAGTATATCATTCATTTCAAGTACTCAAAGCCAACATATATGACCAACGATAATTGAAGGTCGAACTTAAGCCAAAGTTGATGAAGGCTTGTTAGAGGATTGGTAAGACCAAAGCCTCCTAATAACAAGCTTCAAAGGTTTTGAACCAAAATCCAATAATCGATTATACTTGGGCTTTCAAACATAAATTTTGGGCCACGAATGATCATTTTTCAAATCGGGACAAATTTAGCGCTATGTTAAGCAATCGTAAGTGGACTTATGTAGAAGTCACACCTATTTTAAGGCTGGTCAATAGCAATATATATACCATACATGTTAGAGAAGTGATATGTAGATTATTCTCTAAAAATATGTAGTACAAGTAAAAATAAGAAAAGGATAAGATGAAGAGGGAGGGGAATGATAGTGTAATCAATGCCTCAGATGAAATTAGAGTTTCAAATATCATCAACATCATTCATCCATTTTGGTGGATTTTATTTTTCAACCTATCAACATCCAAGATCCAATGAAGTTGAGGAACTTATCCCAAAGTAATACTCAAGTATCTCTAAATCAGGACTAATCAAAATATAATAAAATATATTTAACATAAAAACAATATTTAAATGATTTATAAAAAGGAAATCATTGGTAAAATATACAACATATATTAAAACACTAAATAAAAATCCTAAAAATATATCAGAGGTCAAACATGAGTCAACAAGTATTGACAAATTTCTTTAAAAATTTTTAAAGTCAGAAACTATTTTTAAAATATAAAGAAATCAGCAAAATAAACAAACTTTGTAAAAAGTAGTAAAATCAAAAATAAAATCGGGTTACTAATATTTGTCAAGAGGTTATTAGATCATTCCATAATTTTTTTCAGAATTTAAAATGACCAAAAAGTATTTTTAAACAATTAAAACAAGTCAAATAAAGGAAAATAACATAAAAATACCAAATTATAAAATAAAATTATGAAAAAATAAGAATCAGAAAGATAATATTCAAAAATATTTTTGTGAATTTTTTCATAATTTTCAAGTCATAAATGATTTTTTTATGAATTTTTGAAGTTTAAAACAATTAAAAGAAAAAAACAAAAAATAAAATAATAAACCAAAAAAATCTAGACCATTTGATCATTGTCAAAATGCGTTAGTAAACATATCTGAGGGATCTGACTCGTTGTGCATATCATGGACTCTAGCGAATAAACCACAGGATCAAACGTTTAAAACAATTATTGAAAAAAAGCGTAGCATCACGTCATTGGTTGAAGAGAGACATGTCATCGACTTCAACCTCCTGCCACCTCCAATTCGTGATTCCACAAACGGTAAAATCAAGAGCTAAGACCGGTGTCATTCTCTCTATCTCTTCAAGATGATTCCAATGGTACCCTCGCGAAAAATTTATATTTATGGTAGCTCAGTCGTTTTGGAAAAAACCAAAAGAAAAAATTGAAAAGGAATTTGAAAACAGAGGTACCAAACCTATTTACGGTTGAAAATGAACTATGCTATAAGCATCAGAGAACCAAGAGCTACATTGTAGTAAGGAATTTGAAGAGAATTGATGAAGACTTTTACATGTAGAAGCTCAACTTCAAAGCTCTGAAACTAGACTTTGTATGCTTGATTCAGTGTTCAATTCTTGGTGGTAAGAGTATGGTTAGCTTCAAAGAAGTTCAATGAAACTAACCAAATGGAGATTTTGGTGAATGAGGGTGAGAAACGAAGAAAACAAATATACAAATTCAGAGTTCATATGGGATCTGAACATAGCTAGTTTGGCTCTCTAAAGCTTGAGAAATAAACAGGGATATGTCTCTTATTTATAGATGAGCATGATAGAAGCAAAAAGTGAGAGAAATGATCAAGTATGAGTGGAATTCGTGTGCACCTGCATCATGAACAAAGTGTGACTTACAAGTTGTCAAAATTCAATCATTCTTTGCGTTTTAATGTGCTAAACCTTTCAAGAAACTTAGTTAATCATGTTTAAACATCAAACGCGCGACAAATTTGTGTTTAGAGGCCACACTAATCAAAATCAAATATGACTTTGGTGAAAAACTTCAATTCTAAGGTACCATCTTTGAATTCATGGTGCACGCAATTCAGGAGGCTTTATGGGATAATTCTTGAAGCTTTTGAAATATCACATCCTCATCTTCACAGTGTGTCAAGAAAGACTCCATTTGGTGATCTGAGCTGAAAGTTATGATCAATTAAAATCGTGAGAAACAAACTGATTTTTGTACTTAGAAATATTTCTAAGTGTTAAACTTTAAAATGACCTATAATGTTCTTCAAAATTACATGACCTTCCACTCAAAATTTACTCTTGATCCTTGAAGATGAAATGAAGTAGACCCTTTGAATTGAATTGTGGAATTGAAATCATTCAAAAATCATAAAAATGAAAGAGTTATGGTCTTTGGAAGATGATAAGCAAATTTGAAGAAATTCACAAATGACTTATAATCTTTTCAATTATTTAATGACTTTTCAAACATTTTCAAGCCTAGCACCTTGAAACAAAGTTGTAGTAGACACCCCAAAATTATTGTAGAAAAAGAATGAGCTCAAGGAGATAAAAATTGACCAAGTTATGATCCTTTGAAGTCACACAAGAGAATTTGATAGCCTTCCCAAAAGACTTGTAGTATTTCTCAATCATTAGTGACTTTCCATTCAAAATTAGCCTTAGACCCTTGAAGAGAAGTTGTTAAGGACTCTTTAAAGAAAATCATGGCTTTAGAATCAGCCTAATATCTCAAAAAATGAGCAAGATATGATCCTTGAAAGTCAATCAACCCTTACTCAGAGAGTGCCAAAATTACTTGTAACCCCTTTCAAGTTTTGATGACTTTCGTTGCACAATTGGATCCTGTCATGTGAAGAGAAGTTGTTGTAGATGATGATAAGAATACATAGCAAAAAGAACCAACTCAAAATATTGAAAATTGAGAGAGTTATGCACTTGTGATCACTGAATCATTCACTTGCTCAATTAGGTCAAACTTGTTGAATCAACCTTGAATCTTTTGAACTTTCTTTGCAAAATAGAGCATGATGGATCACATTAGACTTTGAAATGATGTTGCCGTGAAGCATACTCAAAGGTGGAGTTTAAGTCTCAATGAAACTTGTTGAAGAAGACATGAAAATAAACACATGAACCTATGAATCTTCTTGATGAATACTACCACCAATCTTGAGGAAAACTTGACCTATATAAGGTGAGAGAGCTCTTTGAACCAAAAAACTTTGATATCATAGACATAGCCTTGAAGCTTAAGCTCTTCAATCCATTGAAGAACCGTTTGACTAAAAACTATCCCTCAAAATCGTAGATTAGATGGTGAGATGGATGCAGTTGTGTCATCACTTACAATATGACCATCCAAAGAAACATATATACATATTTTAATGTTAGTTGAAAATTAATCCACCTAAAAAAAAACACATGTACAAGATACACAATTCAAGGTGTTCGGTGATCTCTCAAGAGCAAACTTAAAGATATAAAGAAGTAAAAGGGAGAACCAACCCTAATATGTGATCTTGATGTATTGATAATATGAGATAATAAGAGATCTTAGAGACAAAAATTGAGATATAACAATAACTTATCCTAACCAAATTATAATATATTACTTGCAGAAAATTTTCTTTAAAAAATAATATGAAAGAGAAAAATAACATTGAGAAATTCAATAAAAGTAACAATTATCTCCTAAAAAAAATGTTTGACTAGTGTGTATGAAAAGAATGGGGGAGCAACATTCTTTGACTCTTGAGATATGTCATGAGATGAGGGCTTAAAAGGTATAGATAATTAATTAGATATATTTTTTTGCATAGGTTCAATATGTTCATTGGGGTCTTCTCCGTCTCAATTGATTAGTATCTGCATTTGAGTTCAGAGGATATCTAATTTTTACTTTAAAAAAACAATATTGTGCCGCTGAAGATGAAACATATCTCAAATTTGAGTAAATGATCATATCTCAAATTAAGTTAAATATCATAAAATTACAAACCATAACCTGAGTCCGTGCTTATCCACTACTTTTAGAAAATGATACAAAATGATAAGATCCATTTTAATTTTTCACCAGTTTCAATTGAATGGTTTAGTTTTTCTTTCTGGAGGCCCTAGAAAACATATCTCTGATGTTATGTGATTCTGTCTCAAGTTTTATTTTCTTTGCTTGTCTACCCTTCTTCACAATTGTAGCCTTCTTATCATCACTCTGTTCCTCCTGCTAACATTGAGCAAAAACAATTACAATCAAAAATAGAAAATTCCAAATCTCATTGTTCTTGTGTCTAGTAAATTCCAATTACAATTACAATACCTGGAATACATCATTATACAAACCAGGTTTACTTTCCTCAGCATTTGCTTGTAATTTTCCTGTCACCTCAAGTATATTTAACCTGCAAAAGCAAAATCTACTTAATTCCAATCCAACTTGGTTTTTTCTTACAAGTAAGATGATTCATAAAAGACAATCTCAAAGGCCATACTTAAGATGGTTACACAAAGGCTGCAACCAATGATCTTCATTTAAATACTCTCCTAATATTGAAACTGCGTCAACCACTGCATCAATAACATATTAGTAAGTACACAAGCACACATTTCAAGGAATCAATCTGAGAGCAGATACACAAGCACACAACTGAACAGAGTAAAATTATTCAAAAGCTAACTGAACAGAATGGTAGTAGAAAATTTACAAGTGTCTTTCTCTGATTGAACAGCGTAGTTTTTGTCCAACTTCGGTAGTGTCTGTTTCAGCTGAGAAACCTAAAATACAAGAAATCAAAATAAAAACATCAATGGTGGTGAAATTTTTTGAAGCAGTGACACAATAGATGGGCCAAGCATATACCAGAAGACAAAAAGTAAGATATAATGTAAACTCTATAAAGCAAGCCAAGTATTGCTTAAGATACCTATATTAGCGGCCAACACTGATTACAGGCTAAATGACACTAATGATGCAAGGTTTATGGTATTTTCCATGTTCACATTAACATGAAAAACATCATGAACATCAGACATCCATCTGCTAACATAGATTAAATGTCATGCCTCTTTATAGACATGGATGATGGAATTACTGGGCAACTTAACTGTGTATGATAGATAGTTTGGGGGATTGACAGCTATGCATCCGAACTACATATTAGAAAAAGGAAACATAAGGAGATATAGACAAACCTTATAGCAAAGCCAACGTAGAACCTTCGTGTCATCGAGTCTAAAGAATTTTAAGGATCCAACTTCTGCATATGCACAAGGATAGAAGAGGACAGTTTTAGAATCACCACAATAACATTCATATCCCATAACGGAATGCAGTCAGGAAATCACACAATCACACATTCCGGTAAACCAATGGCCTTTTGATCAAGATTGGATGGTAGAAATTTAAGTTAGATATTTAAAATTATAAAATGAAAATTAAAATATGTATTTTATTGAACCATCGGATCTTGATCAGACGGTTGATAATAACTTAAATGTGTGAATGCGTCCATTTTGTGAATGCAGGAGATTAAATTTTGTTCCGTAACTAAACAAAATAGGATCTCAGTACAGTTTTAGTCAAATCATTCACTTATATGCATCCCATCAGACAGCCATACTTCACATACAGTATATTGCAACATTACAAAGGCAATCTATCCCGCCACCTAACATTGAGCTACTGATACACAGAACCGGGACACACAGAAGTGACAGAACCGGGAGAATGAAGAACATATTAACAATGAGGTCACCATAACCATACTTGGCACTCAATAAGTATAATTACATAAAGCCACTTCTCACTTTCTTTCTTCAATATCTTTCCATTAAATTACTTAAATTGTAAACATGTCCAAATGCCAAACTGAAGTTGTAAGTAAAAGGTACACGAGAATACTACCTTTGACTTCACAAACTACTTGCATACAGTTCTCCACAAGCGACATTAACTGCTGATATCCTGGATACCCATCAATGAACAACATCTCATCCAATTGCCTGAACTTACCAAGATCATCGCCTTTCTGCATACATTTTAAAGAACCAGTGATATGCATTATGCATGGTACAATTTTTTTAGGGGGTCGGGGCACGCAATTTAGACTTAATAAATCTATGCACAGTCCAGTCTACACCTGATGTATCAGATGTACAACTAAAATTTTAAATGGGAAAGATCTAGGGAAATAAATTACTACAGTTTTCAATTTCCATGGTTGAAAAGAAAGAGAAATTACCTTCATTCTAGCTTCCTCAAATATGGGAAGCATGATGAAAACAGGATCAACAGGCGTGGATAAATACAGTCGACCATCTGTTGGAAAACAAAATTAGTAGAAATGACAAAACACGAAAATAATTCTTCCAAAATCTTTGTTTCGCTAGAGTTTCTTCGCAAAATCTTTATTTCTAATTTTTTTGGTTAGGATAAGCCAAACAGGAACAAAGACACTATTTCAAAGAAAAGCATAAATAAACAATTTCGTCGAACAAAAGGTTGATTAGATCGATAGAAAATAATGTACATAAGTACAATAAAAACATGAAGTGGAAATAAAAATGCACTGCATTGCAAGTTAGATAAAGAAACATGTACCTTCACTTGTATAATCTCCCAAAAACCAAGAGCCATACAAGTTCTTAAACCATTGAAATTCTTGAAGCATTCCATTTACAAAGAGATATTGTGTTGCATTTCCTGCCAAGCAAATGAAAACATTCGTAGAGGATCCAAAACAAGAAAAAGCCGGAAAAAAACTGTCATAAAGTTCAATAATGAACAAGTCACAAAAAAAAAACTAATAGCAAATCAGTACAGTATTGTTAACAGAACAGTATCAAGTGTTAATGAACGCATTAAGAAATGAAGATAAACAAATTAAAATAAGTGCTTAATTAAGTTGTTAATTCAAAAGACCTAAATCATATTTTTGAGTTACCAGATTTGGGATGACGAAGCGATATCATTTGTCCGGAACCGTTTCCATCGGTGCCAGGATCTGCACTTGCAAAGAAGAATCAAATTTCGGAAAAATTAACAGCAACAATGCGTTGTTGTAAAAGTTATTGAACGAAAATTAATAGAAAAAAGTATAAGAAAAATGAAAGAGTGTTATTACCGGGGGCAACGAGAACGCGAGATTCATGAACGCCTTCCCACCAAGTCATAGATGGATCGGTTTATTATCAGTCGCCGTTTCTTCCTTTCTCGCCGGTGACTGTGAAGAAGAAAACTCTCCAAAAAGAAGCGCCAAAAGACGAATGGTTAGCGCGCGGTACTCTCAATCGATCCCAATCGGGCCAAGCCCAAGGGTTTTTATGCTAGCTTCATTCGGTCCATAGTGACACCCCTTTACATGTACTTGAACACTATATTTTATGTAAAAGAAAAACAAATTACTTTATTTTTATAATTTTTCATATTTTATATATGTTTTGTAAAAAAAATTATGATTTTATATTAACTTTTTAAATAAGTGGTTTAAAATTTAAATTTTTGAAAATGTTTGTGATTTTATACTGTTTTTTTCAAATATTATGTATTAAATTGTACATTTTAAAAACATTTATAATTTTATACTAAAATTTTCAAATATTCAAAATAAAATAAAAATATTGAGAAATTCTCCAGTGTTATTGTCACGGTGTGAAAAATACTCGAGTGCATTGCACACTCGAAAATACAACAGAGTCGTCACCTAATTTTATTCGTTCCAAAGAAACGGAGAAATATAGAGAAAATCCACAAACAAACAGAGAAATGGATAAGATGATCGTCACAACCAAATTAGGATTCAGGAGTCGGTTATGTAATGGGAATATATTAGCACTCCTGACACCCATCATATTCGATGGTACCCATTTAGCTAGTCCTGTGATCGAAAGTTAGTGTGATGTTTACTTGCATTCTAATTATTATGCGAGAAAGAAGAGAACGAAAGGAAAATGTTTTTGGTTTTTTGAAAGTGGGTTCGCCAAGACTTTGCATTTTGTGCCTAGGTATTCCCCAAGTGTTATGGGAAATTAGAGCTTATGTAGTTCTCGGTGAACTAAAATATCTATGGGTTGGTTGATTTTGTTTATGAAAAAAGAGCTTAATTATACGTGGGCGATAAGACTCACTAAGTGATTTGCATGTAAGTGATGGAAATCGCATGTGAGCGAAAGATTGCAAAAGACTCGCACGTGGGCGAAATTTGATGAGTTGGAATCATTTTTATGTGGGTGATAAGTACTTGACAATAGGTCTAGATAACCAATGATCAAAATACTAGAAACTAGAGGAGCAAGCGATGCTCAACAAATTGCCTTTCATCCCAAAAGTTTTCCTTATGAAAAAGGTGATGTGAAACAAAAGTTCACTTATTAGGTTCTTTATGTATGAAGGACGAGTATTAAATAATAGGTATAACAACCAACGATCTAATACTCAGAGTTTTAGTTTATTGTGAAAATATTTTGAAAATACAACTCGACATTGGATCGAGGTTTGAACTTAATTATGAAAGGTGATCTGAGGTGAACGAGAAAGGTTGATTGCGATGCAAAAGCAATTGACTTATAATTTTGGGGTATGACTCTCGATATATGGATCGAGTATGCTTTGGGTTGGTTGATTGCAATGCTAAAAGGGATCGACTTACAAGTTTGGTGTATGGCTCGATATATGGATCGAGAATGCGGGGGTTTGATCAATTTTAATATGTAGTGATAATAAACAAACAAAATAAAATCCAAAAGGAAAGCGATAAAATTATTTTACACTTCATGGGAGTAGAGGTACACATTTTTTGAATGGGGTATAATAATCAATAAACATGAGCACAAACAATAAGGCATACAAGTGTAATAATCATTTAATTGACTAATTAAAATTAATTAATCGACTAAGTCTCATTGTAAGAAAGCCCAAAAGTAAGCTATGTGAGGTTGATGGTGATGCTAAAAGCGATAGACTTACAAGGGTATTGATATGTGTTTAAAGTGGTCATTGAATAGATATCATCATGAGAATAAGCACCATCATATAGGGCAAATGCATGAGTAAATAAATTGATCAAAGCACACAAAAATATTAAGCCCACACGTCACACAAGAATAATTAACTAAATTAAATAAATCTATTTAATAAAACTAATTATATTAAACAAAATTATTTAAAATAAGTAAACATTCATTTCAATATTTATAAATAATAATAAAAAACACTAAAATAATAATGCAAGCAATAATAAAAAAAACAAAATCATAAAACAAAAGAAAATAAACAAACAAAGAGGAAAATGGGCCAGGGAATGGTTAGCAACCCAAATGGGGGATGGCCCAAGAAACAAATTTTGAGAATCCATGTAAGAACAAGATTTGATTCTGAATCTTGACTTGAGTTTTGATGATAACAATACATGGGTGATTAGGTAACAATTTAGTGCCCTAATTGTTTGTTTAGTGTGTAGATTTTGCTAACAGGTTATGACTCTGAAGATTTAATGTGTGACGTCATCAGAGTCTGGACTCAACACACTAAGTATTACAAGTGTGTATTATAAGGCTCATAAATCTTCTAAAGTAACGGTTTTGAGGAATGTTAACTTCTAAAGCTTATGTGTGTGACTCTGATAGTAAAGCTTCTGAAGGGTTCTCAAGCTATGAAGATCCCAAGCTCTCTTACTCCAAGGTTTTGAAGATTCTAAAGACAAGGTTCTAATGAACAAGTTCAGAATACTCTGAAGACTCTGAAGACTAACGGTTCTGAAGACCAACATGCTGAAGACTCTTAAGACAAAGTTTTGATGAACAAGTTTTGAAGACTTTGAAGACCAAGGTTTTGAAGACTCATTTTGATCCTTCTAAACATGCTTCACCTCGTACACACTCTGAAGCCTTTGAAGATTAAAAGAGAATATCAAAGGTTTTACGTGAAATATATTACAATATCACATCCTCCCACTACTCTGATTTTATGGCGCAAGGATTATATTATTAGTTAGATGTTGTCTACCACTCACGCTGACTGTTATGCAAGAAAACATTTGGAAATTTGTTATTCCTATTATTCCATCCAATATATTTCTTTTTTGATATAAAAGGAAGACTTGGAAGAATTGGAACAACTAACGAAACAAAATTGTGCTGGTTCATTTTGCTAAAACACTACTGAAATATCATTGTAAATCTTTTGTAAAGTTTTGTAAAGCAAGGAACTTTTGTTCGTAAGCTTGCTAGCAAGGAACTATTATTTTATACTTGCTTATAACACCATTGTGTTATTATCTGTACTTTCTTTCAGTGTAATCTGCTTTCAAGAAGCAATTTTGTAAACACACAAACTTGTAATTCAACAGTGAGTTGATTGTACCTTGAGAGACTATGGTTTTAGTCAGAATTCTCAATAAGACATTGACGGGTAGTCTTTGTGGTTATAAACATTGATAGTTAGTCTTTGTTTATGTCTCTAATCAGTCTGGTTATGGTGAATTAAGTCCTTGTTAAGAAAGGCAAATCACTTTGGTAGGTGTTGGCTGGAATTTTGACGATTCATAATATAGGAAAATTAAGAAGATATCAAAGAAAGGTTGATTTTGCAAAGGAAATGTGAAGGTTATTATCTATGGTCTTCGACTAACTGACCAAATAAATGTTGAAAATTATTAAGTGTTGACAAAGTCTTATTATTATGGAATATATAAGACTTAAGATATTTCAAGTTTTGAATTTAAACAATTTAACAGGTCACGATTGTGTTTTTGGCGCTTTGAATCGAAAGACATATTTGAATTTAAATGTTTCGATCTTATCCAGAAGGAAGCGTGGAAGCCTGGGGATTCAAGGAAGCATGCAGCTTTGAACGTGGCATTTCTATAGAGTAAGACCGTTAGGATCGAATTAGTATAAATAGATATCTTTGTAACGCCCCAAATTTAATTAATTATTTAATTAAATTAATTAAAGATTTAATTATTGAAAATGGTCGAAGTTAGGATCTGCCGGTATTATTTTAAGAGGCGTGATCGGGTTAATATGTGTGATTTGAGATGTTAAGTGGATAGTCGAGTGAAATTGTCGGTTTAATCGAAGAAATGATATTAGAAATAATATTATTATATTGGATTATTATTTAGTTAAATTGGATTAAGTGGTTGGGTGGTAAATAGTGAAGCTGGAGGTATTATCTAGTAGGCCGAATAAGACAATGTGGTAAGATATAATATTTTATTAGGTTGTTATAATAAGTAGTAGTGAAATTAGGTTTTGTACGTAGCAGTAAAGGTTTGGTGAAAGAATAATGGTACGTGAGAAGTGGCAAGGAGAACAAGGGTTTGGAGGAAACTGTCGCTGTGAGAGGAACTGTCGTCGTGAAGTCAAATTGGAATTCGACCAGAAATTATAGAGAACCGTCAATCCAAGGTAAGGGTGGAGTTCTGACTATCTAATGGGTTGCATGCCAAATTTTATGTGGGATTTGGTTTGTAAAACTGCCTCTATTTGTGTTTATTTATCGTAATTGATACTGAGATGTGGTTGCTGTCAACAAATTGGTTATGGAAAATTACTACGTCGATTGGGTATAATTTTATATTATTGTGATACTGTGTTGTGATGCTGAATTTAATATTGTATTGGTCCATAGCAGGCGGAAGAAATTAGGAAGAAAACAAAAGAAACAAAAGTGTGTGTGCTGAGCGGCAATCTTGGGGATTGTTGTGCCATGTCGAACGACATGGTTGTTGAGATAGGAGTGCCATACATGCCGAATGGCATGTTGTGAAGAAAAGGAGTGACGATCAACATAGCATTGTGCCGAATGGCACATGTGGGAGGAAGGGGGTGCCGATCAGCACCCTAGAAGGAATTGGGAAGGAGGTGCCATTAGGCACTGCATGTATATATAGTTTCATCTTCAGAAACTTAATAAATTTAGAACATTAGGGGCTATAGGAATAGTTCATGTTTTAATGATACACATGGAATTTGTTAATGATATGCATGGCAATGTGCCGATAGGAACATAAGGTTCCTTTAGGAAAATAGTTTTCAACAATTCCATTTCAGTAGTAGCTTATTAACTTAAGGCTTAACATAAATATGTATCAGAATTTGTTTAGTTTAGATCAGAGTGTAGGTACATATATATGTATAAGACGGTAGATGGATTTATTAACAATGCAGAG